GTGATATTTTTGTGCTATCATCATGCAGAACGCCGGTAGATGGGTGAAAACACTGAAAAGGCTCGCTTGAACAATACTCGTGAATATTTGCTACTGGTGCGGCTGCAGTTAGAACTGATGATGATGTTCATGAAGATGATGCTGATGAGCATGATGGTTTCCTGAACATGTTATGGACTTCGCTGGTCAACTACTTGGTGTCCTTTCATTACAGGCAATGGATAAATACAATGTGGAGAAGGACATTGCGGCTTATATTAAGAAGGAGTTTGACAAGAAATATAATCCTACATGGCACTGTGTCGTCGGACGGAATTTCGGTGAGCTTTTTCAAAATGGTTGAGGTGGTTGATTATTGAATTTGTTGTTTTTGTCTTTTCCGTCATATAGTTTCCCCTTCGGATAGTCATCATCATCACGCACAAATGACACAAGTCTGCTGCAACGTACAAGCACTGTCAAGCAGGCGGCAAGATTAGAACCATATTTAGGAGGAGGGCAACTTAAAAAAAGACAGGCATTACACCATTGTGCAAAGTTGCAAACACTGTATACAATGATGATCCTTTCTAGCAGCATATACTTCAGAATGTGATGGCCTGCTTTTCTGTTGGGATATGTTTAAGATCCCCCTTATGCACAGTCCGATCTTTTTCTCGAAAAGCACGCCTTAGAATCCTGTAGAGGAACGATTACATTCGATGGCTGAAACAGCACACGTGGCATGAAAACCCACAGCAGCCCGAATCATATCTGGACGCCGATCTTAGCACTCATGCGAATGGGATAATAGCCTGCTCCATACCATACGCACAGTGACTCCGAAAACAACATTTGCATTAGGTGCTGTGACTGGAGCTACCGGAATGGCGGATCCTGTCCGTGGTGAAGGAGAAGGGTGAAGGTGGAGGCGGTGATGGAGCAGAGAGGCGACAGAACAAGCAGACACTTCAAACTCCCACTGTACACGGGATACTCCAAGACTTGCAATGCAAAATGAATCAAAAGGAAGACTGCTGGTGGAATATACCCTCAGCGGAGTGACTGGAAGGACTGGCCTGGTACTGACACCGGTTCCGGGACAACCGGAAAAATCGCATGGGCGTATGAGCGTGCGCGCGCGCGCGCGAGAGAGAGACTCTAACGAACTACGATCCCCTTCCCCCCCACAACCACCAAGTGTATTATCACATCCGATTAGTTTCATATCTGATCTGGGGTCCATCGGGACCATGAAAAAAAAAAAAAAAACACAAAGAAAGGGAAAATCCGTGCGTGCGCGCGCGAGAGAGAGATAGTGGACCCCCCCCCCAACAAATGGGTGTAGTATCTTTTTTTTTTTTTTTTGTACAAAAACAACTTCAGTTTATCGGTGGGGAGCTGCACCTGCTGGGAAACGGGTCCAGCGTCCCATACGCAGAATTTGTTGAGATCTGAGTCTGAATAGAAAGAGAACACTGCCTCTTCAGCCCAATTGAGGCCGCCAAATAATCTTACTAGTGCGGTAGTATCTGTTTCGATCAGTTTCGTATCTGATCCGTGGTCCATCGAGACCTTTAGAAAGAAAAAGAAAAAAGAAACGGAAAATCCACTTGCGCACTGATCGGTTTAATGGAGGCATTAAACCACTAGTACCTCCACCAGTGTTCGGAAATTACGAGCTTTTGCCAGTTCCCAAAGAAATTGGGGGTGGGACACAGGGTCGGCAATGTCCCATAAATCATCGTTTTCTTTTGCCCGTGCACGAAAGGAAGAGGAAAAAAACGAAGCCTTTGTACTGCAATGATGTCGGGCAGGGTAGTCTAGGAGGCCGTGCGCACAGTCTTGAATGCATCTTTCAGCAAAGACGGTCACATTCTGAAACTTGTTGTTTTCTTTTTTTTTTTTCTCTTTTGTTTGTTATGCGTCCCTTGTCAACGACGCACGGCAGAATCCGTGATCTGCTCTAGCTGTGTTTCCTCAGAGGATTGTAACCCTGATGTATCCAGCCATTTTCAAGTCCGAATCCATGTTTCCTTTTTTCTTTTCTTGAATCTGACAATCTGAATCCGTGATCTGCTCGAGCTGTGTTTCCTCAGAGAACTGTAACCCTGATCACACTGGCACTTAGCGGAATGAATCTTGCCATTTTCATGGCCGAATCCGTGTTTCTGTCCTTTTTTTTTTTTTTTTTTTTTTT